GGTTGTCCATGATTGCAGTAATTGTAATATTTGTTCTTGCCATTTGCCAACCACCATCCCYGCGACGACTTGGTTTTCTTGTATCTGTCTCAAGGCAAATCAATTAAATTTAAATTTTACGTGGGACCCAGCTGTAGGCAGCCAACGGTCGGATAGTGGATATTGTGATTGCAATGGGGCCCCATTGCTTGATAACTGAATCCCTTGTTTCGAGCATTTGGACCCACTACTGGATGGGTCTGAGTCGTCTGACTAGTAGATCAGATGGTCCAAATCAAAGCATACTTTGAACATTTTTAGCCACCTGATCACTGGTTTTTAATTTCACACAAGGTTAACTGTTTAAGAAGAAGCTCCAAAAAAAATCCCCAATCCCCATATTTGGTTGGGAGACGGCCTATGGCTCATTTGGGAATTGGGACCCATCTCCTTATCAAAAACAATAAAAATATATAGGACCCATTATGCGGTGTTGGGTCCACATTATTGCAATGTTTGGACAGGTGACAACTTATGGAGGGGGCCCAAATCCATCTTTGGGCCTTGTATTCCCAGACCCAAGAAGTTCATCTAACTTGGATTTCTTTTAACTACTTTTAATTGACTTGTTCTGTTAGCTGCTGCACTAGCAAGTACAATAGTGCAATCTTTTMTTTCCTGAGAAACAGTMTTGATGTGTGTGTGTGTTTCTCTCTTCTTTCCTCTGAGTGTCTATTTCATTACCATTTTGGCTGATCAGATAGCTACTGATAATGTGCTTAATTCCTRGTGGATTAACAATTTGGATCAATGACTCGGTTAAGCTTATTTTAGCATTCTTATTTCTTCTGATCCACATGACTTTGAGTAAGGAACTCTAGAGAAGTCATAAATAAATCTACTTGCTGATCACCACCAATTCAAAGAAGGATTAAACAGGACTGGTATTTGTATAGAACCTTGAATTATTCAAACTATTTCTAGTTGTGTTTCTGAACTTTAAAATGTGAAACAAATTGAGAATGGTCCAAGCGAGAACGTTCACACCCTAATACTTCGGAGATATAGCTTTCTTCTTGAATTACTATCTGGTGTACACCTAACAATACACAATATTCAACCCCCCCTGGATCGAGCTAACGCCTAAATGTAAAATCTTAGACTGCATCTCAAGGTCAATAAGAAAAATAAGCCGTGGACATGACCGAAGAAAGGATCCACAGGAGTTGGGTAAGAAAAAAAAATAAAAAAGATAAAGAATTTCTTGATGGCGTGGCTTCACATCGATTTATTCAATGAGTACTTAAAAAAAAAAAAATTTACMCCTGCCCCTTAAAATACCCTCAGCAGTCAGCCTACCCTTGAACGTGCTTACTATATTGTGCTTTAGTCTGAATCTGCTCCTCATAGAGCATTCTCACTTCTCACACCAACCTCACAACATTCCAACCGTGCATCAGGTACATTCCGTTTTATTCATGAAGAGATGTCCGCGATGTACTGTAAAGTCAGTGTGAGGAGTAAATTCCAATTCGGTTTATTAATCTCTGGATGGTCTACTGCCTGAAGGTTGAAATAACATTTTTTTTCTAATGAGATTGGTGTAATAGATTGCAAATTACAAAGGAAACTGGATTTGCTGGTTGAGTGGAGCAGTAATTCATTAACCTTTTAATGAAACTCCCCATTCAATTGATCAATTCCATAGCTTGGTTTCAGCCTTTCAGGTAGCTGAAGGGGTGTTTGAGAAATTAAGTTTCAGGCAGCCACCTTTGACCTTGCAATGTCCCTATAAAAGTCTRGCACTCAGGGCAATGTTTTATTTGAGGGGAAAAGGACGAGCCAAACCGGAACATGAGAACAGAGGGACATGGCGAGGTCCTAATCCTACTCCCATGTCCCATGTATTGCAGCCTTAGAGCATCTCCGACACAATCCTCACTTGTTTCAAATGGACGGAGAGGAGGATTTCCAGAGTTCAAATCAGCCTCCCACGAGATTGCCCCCCATAATGTCCCACTTTACATCTCCACCGTGTATTGAGAGCATCTCCAGATGATGATATCATCATTTTTAGAATTATCATCGAGAAATATTTCCAATACATGGCGGGGATGTACTATGGGATGTTGTGGGGGACAATCTGGTGGGGGGCTGATTTGGTCTCGGATTTCCAAGGCCCTAGCTCAACATAGACCTTCTATACATTCAGGGCCTCCATCAAATTTACCCCTTCTTCAAACCTTGCAAGAAGTGCAAGAATAGCTAGGGGTGCAATATATTATTTATATTATATTTTTATAAATTTGTTATATTATTTATTTTTTATAAAAAACATGTATATATGATGAAATTAAATAAAATATTTATATTTTTTGTTTTTTCTTTATTTAAATTGGTATATTTTATTTATTTTTTAATAATTTATTAATTTTTAAAGAAAACAAGTCAGATCAAATCAAATCCGAAGATCCGATAGGATTCGAATCCAGATCGAGTCCTATTAGGTCTGATCGAATCTTCAGATCGGATCGGGTCCAACATGAACAGTGTCAGATCGGATTCGAATCCGATCCGATCTGTTTGCATCCCTAAGAATAGCAAGAAAGGTCCCAGTATTAGAGCTCTCTATTAATCGAACCAGTAGTGGCACAGCTCTTGCCAAAACTATCCACACGAGCTCAGCCAAAGAACTGAGGAGGTGATGGGCTTCGGCGCAAGGACAACCTAAAAGGGTCTTAACCAAGTCTGCGTTCTATGAACCCGTGGGTTCGCGGGATGCGTGAACCTGCTAATAAGAAGCGAACACTTTGGTTGGGTGACATTGAGGCCCCGTTCGCTTTTTGGTAAGTAACTTACTTGGGTAAGTTTTTCCTGGGAAACAATTACCTGGGTAAGTGCATTTACCCCCCATGTTCTTTTATTTCCCATGTAAATAAGGCAATGACCATTTTAGCCATATAAATCCATTATTAAAAGGGGCATTTTTGTCCCATTCAAGTGTTGGCAAATTTCCCCCTATGTGGGAAAGTTATTTATCCACCTAGGAGATGGGTATTACTTTCCTGGGTAAGTAATACCCAAGGAAATAAACTTTCCTTTGTCCCCACATAAAGCTGAAAAACAAAAAAGAACATGGGATTCTTGGTCTATGGGAACTAAAATCCCATTGACCAACTTTCCCCTCTCTCAAAATCCAAAAAAAAAGAATGCCCCCTAAATGTAACTTAATAGGCCTTTGGTCGTTAATTGAAGTAGTCGGTTGAACTGGACACAAAATGACAAAAAAACGCACCTATCCTCCTCAGTTTGAACTCCCACTTGGCCACTCCTCCCTCCCATTTTGTTTCTCCTCCACCAAACCCTACCCCACAAGCATTGGCGAGCTCATCCACACCGGCATCCGTCAATGCGGAAACCACCGGCGGTGAGAGGAAAATCGTTTTGGTTTCATCTACTCTTTTCGTAACATTCACAAAGCAAAAAACTGGCTGTATAGAGAGCTCAGTGAAAGATGATCTTACAAGTACTAACAAGAGAAACCTAGCGGAGAGAGAAGATGTGGCAAACTAACCACCCCAAGAAGTCGACGATGATGCACATGAGAGAGAAACCCAAGATTGGCAGAAAAGGTAAGCTTGATGACAATGGCATCAGGTCACAGGATTTTCTGTCAGAGAGCGAAAGCATGGATCATTCGTTTGGTAGYGATCGGTGGAATGCTAARGGAATTCGCCATCTCTTAGAAAAATGKGACGGATTCCAAGATGCTCCAACGATCCAATTTCAGATGATGATAGCCTCATTGAGATTGAGCTCCCCGATGGGCATTACGTCAACCCCAAAGAAAGCACAAGTCGAGGCAAACACCTAATCTGCTAGAAATGTTGACAGGGTCAATTTCTCGACAACAAGCATGAATGAAGAAGAAAACTTGATAGAGATCGACATTTCCAAGGGCTCCATCAAGTGTTCAAGGTTAGAGATTGAAGCGTGACTGCCTACAAGTGCTTAATGAGTTGGTTTGGTCCTTCATTTGATGCTACATTTTGGATTAGTGTTATATCCATTTTAGTTTTTTTTTTGTTGCTTTTCCAAGTTTTAAAGAAGAAAAACTCTTTACATGGATGGAGTTACTGTGGTGAATCCCTGTTTGTTGGTGTTTCAGTAGCCATAGAGTGTATGCATTGAAGAAGAAGACTGACTATCGGTGTGAGTTGCGGTTCTTCGATCTGTTGAAAATAGAAAGCCAAAAAGAACGGCCAGAGAACACACTACTGGATGGTTACCCTCTCGCCACTGGTGGCTTCCTCATTGACAGACGCCAGTGTGGATTGAGCTCGTCGGTGCTTGTGGGATAGGGTTCGATGGAGGAGAAACAAAAATAGGAGGGAGTGGCCRAGTGGGAGTTCGAACTGAGGATAGATGCGTTTTTTGTCATTTTGTTTCCAGTTCAACCAGCCACTTCAGTTAACAGCCAAAGGCCTTGGCAGGTTCATGCATCCCATGAACCCATGGATTCACAGAACGTGTACTCGTCTTAACCAGAGCTTAAATATGGTAGCCGCTACCCCAAATCTACCCTAGTTCTCATCCAGCATTGCCAAACCGCAGATGAAAGAAGTGGCCAGCATGCCAAACTCCGGGAAGTTCAAACCAAGGATGGTAGAGTTGGGGCAATGGATTTGTCTAGGAAGTGGGAAGCAACAGGCCAACAGCAGATTGGATGTCTTTTATTGTTTTACGTTGAAACAAAGATTACCTTCGATATCTTTTCTCCTCTCTACCCTCTTCTCTACCTTGTAAAAGTTTCCCTACATTTCCCTTCCCTTCCCTACCTTTTCCTTCAAACCAAACACAGCCTTAATAAACAGATTTTCCCCTCCCTCCCTCCCTCTCTTTCTTGGTGTTTTGATGTTTTTGCAAACAAAGGAAGCCTAAATGACTTTCATCCAGGGTAGTCGAAAAAACYTTTTAACTAGAAAGAGCCAAGACCAAGTGTTAATGAGGCCTCTTACCACTGAACAGTGTTTCAAATTCTTCCATATTGCATTGACCTATTTGACTTTCAGATGATATCATTGATTCCCTGTTTCGACAATTTCTTACAAAACCATGGCTAAATTGATTACTCAAATGAAGGGCAATAAGATACATCAAAAAGGACTAAAGGTAAAAAAGTGTAACAATCCCCCTTGATTTGAAGAGAGGTGAAAAGTCTAAATTGTTGTCATCAATTATTTGATGATGCACTCAATAAGGCTAAAAGAATTCAATGGTTCAATGGGTGACCAGGCCTAAAAACAAAAATCAAGGACTAAAAAACAGGGTAGACACGGGGGTTATGACAACTGAAGTTCCAGCAAAAACAAACTGCAGTAGCTCTTTGAACTTTGAAGCTACAAAGTATAACAGTAGCCACCTTGTCACCTCATCAGATTTTATTCCAGCAGGAAAAGCTGAATCAATGGTGGTCGTCGTCACCATGGCCATCAGGTGGTCCCCCTGGTCCAACAACTTCCAGCTGAAAAACATCAAAAGAAGAAATGAGAGTAGCTCTACCAAATAATGAAAGCAATTCATCATCATCCATGTGACCATGCCTTATCCCAACTATATGGAGTTGGCTATATGAATCCTGTTTTGCCATTCTGGTCCATTTAATGATATCCACCGTTAAATTTGATGAAGGCAAACTATGGGGAAAAACCATCTGGGTCAATTACTCCTATATTTCATGTGAAATTCTACCAAAAATAATTGTGCATGTGATGAACAACAAAACAAAAACTGCCTTCTGCAACAAGGGGGTCAGGCTGGGTTTTACTTGTATTAATTTACACAGTTCAAAGCACTTCAAAAAATTATTCATAGACACTGAACGGCAAAATATGGCTCTTCAATTCTTCAATAGCAACTCCACCAGTCCACCCACATGAAAAAAGAATGTCTATTGGAGAGTTGCTTCTAATTCTACTATTAATACAAGACAAATATTTGCTTCTAGAAGTGAGGTAGTAGTCCAAGTAAGGCCTACTCACCACGAAGTATTGAGAACAAACAGGGCACTCATGTGGCTTGCCTTTCTCCAACCAAAACCAAACGACATCATGCTCATCCTCTGGAAACATATGTAAATCACATTAAATAGTAATCAAAATAAAAGGCATGATAATAACTTTCATGGTAAAAGAAAGAAGCAAGTCATAGGAAAAAAATAAAGAGGACCAGGACTTACCCCCTTCACCACCAGGACATCCAACTATTCTTTTATCATACACAGACTTAATAACAGCAGGTGCTTCCTACAAGCAGATAGCATGGCAAACATCTAAATAAATGAGATTACAAGTCAGGAATCACAGAATGCAAGTATGACCTTGTCAATGAATAGATCACCAACAATTATTAAGCATAATGGAAAACTACAAACACAACAATGAAAGTTTCAAGTGAGATAGAACATTGGCCACAAAAGAAACTTCAAGTAGTAAAACAGATATCAACAAGAGTAATCATACAGTGTAAAACAACATCAAGATTAAGATTCCGTTTTGTTCTGTTTTCTACTTTCTCTTACTAATGATGTTACAGTGAGTATTTTGTCATTGGTATTGATAAAACAATAACATCCATGCTTAGTAAAATGTATACATCCCACCATATTCATCATTCATTAGCTGAAAAATTGAGGCACTTAAAAATTGGCTTTTTCTAATTTTTGGGCCAATAGCAATGAACACTGTAAGGATCAAAGTTTACTCTGAATATTCCCACTGAATTATCATCCTTTGGCATTTGGCCCCATTACAAAAGAGCACAAAGAATTGTACCAATAACTTAGAGTTGTTTTGCCCCGTGGTTGTTTAATAGCTCTAAAGATGATAATCTAACCCAACGTTATGTCTCCCCCCCCCCTTTCTGGTCACCAGCTCTAAAGATCATTTCTCAAACCAGCATCTCTCTAGAGTCTAGACAAACTCAATGCTCCTTAGTAGGGGTGTCAACAGATCAGTTTTGGGTTGGATCCTGTCCAAATCAAAATCAATTTGGAAGGATTGGTCAGACCAATAAGAGACATTGAATTGGACAAGTCCAAACTTAATGGTCCAAAGTAATTATTGGATTGGATTGGGCCTGGTTCATCCATAACGGATTTATATTGGATTGGGTCAGATTGAACCGATATCCAGTCCATTGATAGAAGCTAAGAATACAGGTGTCAATAAACCAGGTTAGGATATCTAAATTAAAACCAAATTGAACAGATTGGACAGCCCAGACATTGAATTGGATTGGTTCAAAATGGTCCAAAGTATTCAACGAATTGGATTGGACCTGGTCCATTTGTAATGGACTCATATTGGACCAAAACCAGTCCAATTGACACCCCTACTTCTTAGGCCTCATTCGTTTTCCAGGAAGTTGTTTTCTGGGTAAATGCATTTACTTGGGTAAGTGTTACCTGGTTAACATTTTTATGGGTAAATGCATTTATTTGTATTCTTTTGCTGGGAAAATGTTACCTAGGTAAAGTATTCTTTTGCTGATAGGAGCATTTTAGTCCCACAATAGTTTGGCCAATTTTTTCCCTCCATGGATAAGTGATTTACCACCTGGGAGAAGGGCAACACTTAACTGAGAAAGTGCCCCTAAAATTTACTGGAGGGAAAGTTCAGTTTCTGTGGGCCTTACACTTCCCTCCAAAAGAACATGGGGATGTTGGTCAACTTACACATTGGCTACGCCCCCCCCCCCAACTTACCGGAAAACAAACAGCCCTTAATGGTATAAGGGAACTGAACTCTACCTGACCTAAAAGATTCTTCCACTACAAGTAGGACAGTTTCGGTACTTGGTTACAAACTTACAATTTATGGAGCCTAGAAGCAAAGAAATAGGTCACACCAATTCCAACCACTTACCCACAATCCCATAATTTAATGAAATTTTTGCTGTATGATCTCTAAAGCATCAAAATGATAAATCATCCGAATCCAACTTCTTCTACGCATTTATTCACTGAAATCAATCTCCCTAAATAACAAAGAACTTAAGTACTATTTGCCAATGTGGTCCTTTTAAGGTGGTTTTCTCAATAAAATGGGTCCACATAATTAATGTGTTTTCACTATTTTCACAATACATAAACAGCAAAAAATTGTGCCTCAACTTAATTGGTTTTTGTTTTTCAGGTGTGGGCCCTAGCTGCATCAGTAAAATGTAAGGAAAATGGGTAAAACTGGGAACAACTTACAACTGTTTTTAGTTTCTGGAATCTTTTTCACTTTTGAAAAATAGGATTATCCCCTCTTCAATTTTCATAATATGAAACTAAAACCTCAACTACTGAACTTGCTTCTGCATTTTGTAGTGGAATTTCATTGCCATAACAATGACTAGGAAAACAGAAATCCATTATATTAGTGAATGCCCCTTTAAAGATTTTAGCCCCTAAGCATATAGATTTTGCCAGATAATCACTCTGTTCTCAACAAATAAATAGAACTATAGATATGAAAAGGACCTTTTCCATAAAAAAAAGGACCTTGTCTTCCTATTCTGTGATTACAGCTACATGCAAGGCTCTAGAGGACATATATATATATATAAAGACCAGAAGATATAGAAGATATCTAATAGCAATCACCTGTTTTAAATTTTTCTCATCAATAAACAATATTTAGGTAACAGGATGAACTTGTAAAAAGGAGAAGTCTATATCTCTTTTCTTTTGGTTGATAGTAAAACTAAAATTTATTAAAATAAAAAAGAAGAGAATACGATGGGTTTGTAGAGAGATGGTGCAATTGGGTGTTTGGTTGTGTCCAGTCTTGTCACTTTTCTATCATTGTCAATGGAGGGGTGAAAGACTTCTTCCCAGCTTGTAGACGATTAAGGCAAGGTGATCCTCTCTCACCCTTCCTTTTTTACTTTAGTGGCCGATGAGTTTCGTAGACTCCTCTCTGAGGCTGATAGAGAAGATGATTTTAGGTGTTGGAAAGTGGGCAGAAACAATGTTCCAATTACTCACCTCCAATTTGCAAATGACATCATAATATTTTGTGAAGGGGGAGATACTAGAAGGGTGAGGAGGTTAAAAGAACTAATCAACAAGTTTGAAAGGATCTCAAATTTGAAAATTGAAATCAATTTAGACAAGAGTTGCGTAGCAGGGATTAACATAGAGGACAATGCCTTAAATTTGGTAACAGGTTGCTTAGAGTGTCCTATCATCCATTGGCCTTTGACCTACTTGGGTCTTCCCCTAGGTGTCAACCCTAAGGAAAGCATATTCTAGAACCCAGTTGTAGAAAGATGTGAAAGGAGATTGGCTGCTTGGAAGAGGAATTATAATATTATATATCGTTGAGAGATAGGATTATCCTAATAAGATCAACTTTGGTTAACCTACCAATCTACTTCCTCTTTGTGTTTAGGATTTCCACCAAGGAAAGAGAAGAAATTAGAAAAAAAAAAAAAATCATGAGGGATTTCTTTTGGGAGTGGGGAGAAGCTAAAAAGGACCACTTAATCAAATGAGAGATTGTGTGTAAAAGTAAGAAAGAAGGTGGCTTAGGACTTGGGAAGGTGAGAAAGAAGAATATGGCTATAATTATCCATAAAACAAAAGAAGAATATGGCTACCAAACCAATCCCCAAAAAAAGAAGAGAATACAAGAGATGGTAATAGAAATAGCCAAAGGAGAAAAAGAAAAGAATCCCCAATAAATACAACCTACCAAATCAATCCCCAACAAATATTATGTACCAAACCACTTAATGGAATAGATCCTACAAGGCAACAAGAAAGACAAACCTACCCAAAACTCTGAACTTTTATGCCCCCTGGGTTGTTTGTATTTTTACAATTTCCAATTCTTTGCAATTATTTGCTAATACGTTTGCACCAGTGCAAACGTCTGAGTGCACTGTACATAGAGGACTAAAAAAGCACTTTTCTAGTTTTTACTTTTTACTATATGAGGACTAAAGTCTGGCAATATCAACTGAAGAATCATCTATCAATAAATGTCTGAGTGCACTGTAGATAGAGAGAATGCACTGTTGAGACAAAGAAAGCATTCAACTCATTTGCACTCCCATACATTTACACCAGTACAAATGAAATTGCATTGGGAAAAAAAATTAGCATAAGAGACAAATAAAGCACTTTGATATCAGCAAATGCCTGAATGCACTACTGATAAAAAGAACGCACTGTTGAGACCAAGCACTCATGCTGTGGTGGCAGTAGTGCAAATATTGAGACAAAAGCTCTTGTTTCTATCTAACTTCCAAATCTGAAAAGTTACTTCTATGTATATTTTGAAAAAGGTAAGGCATATTTTATTAACTGAAAACAAAGATATACAAGTATGGTCCCTGTACAATGAGTTGCTGTACAATTATCCAACCCTTAAGGACGCCCCAAAAATCCATATTCAGAAAAGGGTGTGATAGAATGTTTCCACTAAAGCAAGTAAGAGTTTCTATACTTCTAAATAATTTTCTAATCTATTAAAACTTCTATTCCTAATGGTATTGTCATTTGTTCCAAAGTAATGTCGCAATATATCAGAATAGGTTGAATGAATCAAATACCAATGGCATTTAATGGTAAATTAAAAGGGCAGGATAAAAGGACGTGAGTTGAAGTATTATAAATGGTTTGAGGGCCCATAGCTTAACAATAAACATTGCACTGAATAGGGTGGCTGAAGCATAGCAATMCAGGCCTCTAGGGTCATGGTTATTCAGGCAGAACTTGAGGTAGATAAGACAGATGCCGAGGATAATGAACACAGCATTCATATAGACTCGGAAATCACCAAAGGTTATACTGAGACTCCAGTCAGACAAGGAATAAACAGGGAGCAATTGTATAGGGATACAACTTAAAAGGGTGATTTGTCCCTAATGCTACTGACGTCGCTTGGGCTTTGATCTTTATCTGTACATTTTTTTTTCAAATCAATGAAGTATTTTAAATATCCATAAAAAAACAACAAATGAACATTGCCTGAATAGAGTGGACTGGTGGAAGTGGAACAGGACTCAGGTAGCTGATCCCATATCTTGAGATGAGGCTTGTTGCATCAAGTTGAATTGAAGATGACTAAGTTGCATTAGTAAGATAATTTGTAGGCATACAAAAGGGTGTGTGTGTGTACATGTTTGGTTACCAAAACAACTAGATGAGAAACCTCCAAGTCATAATATTTACTTTTGGAAGTAAATTTTATTAAAAAGAAAAAAAAAACTCCAAATCACAATATTTTTCTTTGTTAATATATTAGTCATATGAAAACCTTAGCAGATAAGAAAACTTTAGTCTCTTTATTTTTGGAATGATAGCCTACTGTATCACTTAACATCAAATAAATCAAGTATGATTAGACATGATTTGATTGATTAATCTTGAATTTGATGTTGAATAGGTAATTTACTGTACTGTATATTGTATAATGATGCTTACAGTTTAACCAGATTAACCTATGTAGGACTTGAAAATACAAGGCGACAACCTTCAGGTTAATAACATTGTGCTATAGCAAAATAAGCTAATTATTTTTCACTGATAAAAGAGGGTACATTAGCTTTTTGAAATATTTTGTTTCTTTCAGAATTTGGATTTGCATGCTCTTGTGTATTGAGTTTTTTCCCCAAAATTGGCATCTAACTTCATTCAGAGGTATGCCTCACCTTGCACCCGAGTCTCTAAGAACCCCTTGGAGTTTAGTTGCACTTTTCGCTTCCAGAGCACTTGGTTGGACTCCCCAGATACCAAGCTTCTTGTGTGATTGAACATACAATATATAATGCTCCAGATGACTGATATTTTTTTCCTAGATAGGGCATCACCTTTCATTTTCTTGTATTTAAACTTCTTGCAGGACATATACTAGCACAAAAGCAGAGCTTGGTTTGTGGTTCAAAGTGATTTTATATACTTTTCTCTGATCAAAAAGCAAGAAAACTTTAAAGCAAAAAACAAAAAAAAAAAGCCATAAAAGCCCCACCATCGATTGTGATATTCTAGAAAAAAAAAATGAATCCAGAACTAAAGCCAGTGGACTAGGTAACCCAGGAGTCCATTAGCATGTGTGTCATTCGGTAACTGATTAAAAGCTAAGTTATGCATAGGCATCTTGAGATCAACTTCAACAAACATTAAGAACAATATTTAATGAACTAAGGTACATTCTTCCTAAATCCCACCACGTGATACAATACGCATACACAAAGGAAACCCAAATTCATGAAAAGACAAGAAGATTTTGCGCTAACCTTGGTACCAAAAGGACCAACGGGATAATCCATTTCAAGAAGATTCCTTCCCTAAAAGAAACAAGAGCAGATAAGATCATAACTGACACGGTGGCATTAATCAAATCCAAAGGATCAGTAAAACTAACGCATTGAAAAAGGTAGAATACAGAGAAAATCACCTCGAGCTCTGCCTCCAGCTCTTCCCGTTCGTGTCCGGTGGCGATGGGCATAATATCTTCCACCATCTTCTTCCCATTCGACAGAGTAGTATCTATCACCAATTCAACAATAAATCACATTTCGATCAAAGAAAAAAAAAAACTCATTTCCACACAACAAATCAAATAAATCGTAACCAAAACCCCATCCAAAGGCTAAGATCTGACACAAAAATAAGCTTAAGGCTTCGATGAAACGTTACCGGCATCAGAACTGGCCTGATGAGAAAACAAAGGGGCGGTTCTCTGGAACGGAGATGGTGCCGGTGAGGAAGACGCCGAAGTAAGCGCTCGGTTTCTTAAGATCTTCTCTCCGCCGATGACGGATCGTTCAAGTTTCATGGCGGATCTCCATGCCACCAGGGTTTGCAGCTGAGAAGAAACCCTTCTCCACATCGTGATATTCCGATTAGATTATCTCCCACTCTCAGGTCACCCTCACAAATCGCGCCTCTTTCCACTCTTCTACTCTCTGTAAGTCTGTATCAACTTGAGCTTTCTTTTCCCCTCAGGGCTCAAGGGAATAGCCGTCATCAATCAGCTCACGCCTGAGGTATTTCTTAAATTCTTTCCGTAACCAATTGATTCGCTAGGGTGATCCGTCGACACGTGTAAATTCTCCTGATCGCAGATAGCACGTGCCAATTGTTCTTCGGGTCAACGCTCCTGTTAATTGGGCCTTGGACTCTCCAAAAACAAGTACCACGTCAGCGGTAAAATAATAATATGATTTTGCTGGTGTGGCAATTGTCTTGTTTTTTGGAAACATCTCCCAAAAAAGTCTTCCAAACTTTTTGTCATAATTACCAATAAACCCTTCTAATAGAATCTTCTAAAAAGAGTATTGAAAATGTCCAAAATAGCTATGCAATTATTTTTGATAAAAATGTTTATTTTTCATATTTTTTCTTGACATAAATCACTATCCCAAATCCTTTAAATTTCTTTTTTGAAATTGATTTATTTTTCAAAATTGCTTCATTTTTTTTTCTTTGAAAGGCTACACAACAAAGGGTAGTCCATCCCCCAACCTAGGTGCAAGCGAGATTCAATCCCAAGTCTCCGTTACAACTAGCAAGATACTTTACCAACCAACTAACTGTCACCTTGCGACCTCCGTATCAATCACTCAAAGGTAAAGCTACAACTTTAAATTCTAATTTGTATTGTTTTTTCTATAGAAACTAGCCTTAGTAGTAACTACATAGGTATTTTAGATATTTTTGTAATTCTTATTAAAGGATTCTATGATAAGGAGGGTGCACTTACAATTGCATCAAAAAGTTTAAGGTTATTACAATTTTAGGGGATGTTTAAGCAACGGTAAAAAATTTTAAGGGCGATTTCAGAAATTTACCCAAATTTTTTAATGAAATAAACCAACTTTAGCTAAAAATGTCAGGGCAAAGTTACCTTTTTGGTTGATTCCAAAAGCAATGAAACAGTGGAACAAATCTACATTCTGTCTACCCACCTCAAAAGCAATTATTTGAAGAGTTGTAACCTTTGATAGGAATTGCATATTTGCCTTCAATTAAATTGATTCTTTTATGGTTGCGCCCTCTTTGTCAAATTTCCTTTTTATTCTTCTAGTAGTTGGTAGATTTTTTACAATGTGACATGACATGCACATGGACCCATTAGGACAACATGAAAGCCACTGTCTTGAGATCAAATCAGTCCCCCACAAGATTGCCCCCACAACGTCCCACAATACATCCCCATCGTATATTGGGAATATCTCATGATGATGACATCATCATTTGCCCATCAATACATGGAGTGAACCAATCTTTTTTATATATAAAGTCTAAATAAACCATTTTTCATTTTCCATGAATTATTAGGTTTTTCTCTATGGTTTTATTAATTTATTGTAGATTTGTTTCATGGATTTTCTTTGTTCAACAATAAAAACCACTTAACATGAGCCTTTGGCCATCTTCATCAATTCAATTTTGAAGTTCTTTTTTAAAATGGTTATTAATCTCATGTTTAAGTACATTTTTGGATATATAAAAAAAATAAATAAGTTTGCAATAACTAAACATGAAAAAGAAAATTATTTTTCAACTATTTTATATGTAAAGAACTATAAATATATAAAAATTTTGGTGAACGTGCATGCATCGCATGGGTCACCTCTAGTTAGATGATAATTGAATAGCCAAATTAACCCTAATAGTCAGAGATAGAGATAGGTATCCTCTATCTATTTGGTCATTTCTACTTGGTGCATACATGACAAAAATGAAAAGGCCAGGTCCACACCGGTTACAAAAACAATTAATCACAACTATCTAGCAACAATTTAATCTAAAATATATTAAAAACAAAGCTAATTTTGCTTAAACCAATAAGCATCAAAATAGTCTATTAGTGTAGAAACTAACTTTGCTTAAACCAACAACATCCAATCCCATGGAATACGAAGATTTCCTCCTCTCACATTTAGTTCCAAGCCTTGTAGAAACTGGAGCACTACAACTCGCAATGCTCGTGCGATGCACAGGTTGTTTTTTAAAATATATTTTTGAGATAACAAATGAAGTAACATTGATTCACAATAGTTTTTGTATATTTTTAGTTCTTTACATATAAACCAGTAGAAAATAATTTTATTTTCCTTGTTAATTATTGAGCTTTAAATTTGTTTCTTTTTATATAGCCAAAAAGTGTACTTAACATTCGATCAATAACCAATTTCAAAATTGAACTAACAAAGATAACCAAAGGCTCATGTTAAGTGAGCAAATTTGGGTATTGATATTAGTTTCGGTCAAAGGTAGGGCTTATATATAGGTTGGCCCTTAACCTAACCCAATCCATCTAATTAACACCCCTACCTTATTAGATAGAGCCAAAGAGATTTAAGAGGAAAAGAGGGATTTAATATGGAGGAGAGATGTTACAAACATTGACTATTAAGGTGATAGAGAGAGAGAGAGAATAATGGTGTTGTTAGAGAGTAATGTGGAATTTATGAGAGATAGTGAAGATCCATCAAGGTTTTTAATTTTGCATTGTTATATATTCTTAATGATTTAATTTAAAAATAAATATGCATATGTAAGAAAAAGGAAAGTAGGATGAGGGACATGTGAGCTTTGTGATGAGATGACTCCTCAATCCCCTCTCAAGCAACCAAAGAACCCTAATAGTCAAAGATATGGCTCCTTTGTCTAGGAATGGCAATGGGTAGCATATTTGTGCAAATTGTCCTATCCTTTCCCAAACCTGCCTATGTACCATTCATCCCAAAACCGTATAACTTTTCCTCTCAATTTCTCAAATCCATCCCACCCAATTATCATATGATCAAGTTCAATATTAAGTATATAAAAATGTTCTTCAAAGTTCATTATCAACCAACAACATTCAACAAGAACCAACATTGCATATAATTCTCCCAACACAAAAGAACAAAACAAAATAGTATAAATCAAAGGAATGAAATAAAACTAAGTTTGTAATTTCAAATAACAAAAAATTMAAAAAAACAAACAAAAGTTACCCACCAATAAGTCTTGGACTCTTGGTCTTAATTGTTAAACCTTAAAGGTAAATATGTAAACAAATAAACATGAAGGTTTTAGGGTTGAAATTGACTTAAAAAAAAAGAGAGAAATTCAGTCCTAATTTCTAAAACCGTTTGGTATTTAAAGAGTATGTTGGTGATTTGGTCTATCTATATGGTATAACGTATTAAAAGTTATGTAATATATATATTGTAATACACAATAACAATATAGCATAATACCATATATTATAATATGTAATATATATGAGACTTATGTCTTACAAGAAAACTCTATCAAATCATTCGAAATTCTCTAAATGTTCACATAAAAAATCAAAAACCAAACCAAAGAAACCAAGCTGAAAGATCCTCTTGGTTTTGATTAACCTATAAAAAAAATTGATTGTTAATTGAACCAACTAGTACATATATATTTTTAATATATAAAGTATATTTATATATTCACCTATAATATATATTATAAATATAAATAAACAAATAAATCAGAAGCTGAACCAATCAATTAGTTAACCGATTAGTCTGGTTTGGTTTTGGTTCTCAATATTGTAAAAACCAAAGGACCGGTTGAGTTTCAACAATTTGCCCATGGTTTGGTCAACCAAACTATGAACACCCTACCAAATTCTAAAGCACTTTCTTTCTTTCTTTCTTTCTTATTTTAACATCATAAGGTGTTTGGGGAGTGGGGAGTGGGGATGAGGGTAACTTATGCTCGTCCCCCCATACCCATAAGGTCATAACTCATAATCCCTAAACTTGTCCCTCACAAGAGTTGAACTTGATCAAAAGCTCTTAAAAGTTAAGATTATCATTTCAATTTGAGTTTGATTTTGAATTTTGACAAATAGATACCATTTGCAATCTTAATTACAACAATAAAATTTAAAAAATAACTATAAATATTTAAAAATCATTAACAAGTATATCACCTAAAAATAATGCTTTGATTGTACTTGAATTTACCTAGACCAATTGAGTCTCAATCTAAATTTAGACAAATAGTTACAAAATTGCAAACCCAAATCAGCTAATAACAATAATTTAAAGTCCATTTGAATTTAGAAATAACAACATCAATAAAATTTTAAAATTAATTGATAAAAAAATTAAAATTTATAGACAAAAAAAGTTCACCTAGAAATATTGCTTGGATTAGACTTAAACTTGCCCAAACCAATTAATTTTTTAATTTAAATTTAGACAAATAGATACCGTTTGTATTTTGCAATCTTAAATCCTAATTATATTAATGTAAAATCTATTTAAATTTAATAATAATTGTGTCAACAAAATTTWAAATTAACTAAAAAAATTTAAATTTCATAAACAAGCAACTCACCTAAAAATATTGCTTGAATTGCACTTTAACCGAACTAGGTGCCTCAAACTTGCAAATTAACCAATTAGGAATGTCATAGGCCATCATGTATTTGGAACGAGTAACCACATTAAATAAAATTGAGTATCGGATACCCTAAAGTAAGGGTAGATTCAAGACGAGCTGAGATGAATACTTGGCTACTCGATTTCGACTCATAGAAATAGTGTTAGGCTCGAGTTCGAGCTAGACTGCTAGAGACTTGAGCTCGAGCTTGGCTCGGTTCAAAAGCTCACAAAGTTCGATCTTGGCTCAAGCTCGATTGCAAGCCAAGCTTTTTCTAAAAAATAAAAATTATACATATATAATTTTTTTTATTTTACATATACAAAAAAATAAGAAGTATAAAATTATCAAAAACACAAAAACAACTTAAAAACAAAACGCTTACAAAACCATTTATCTAATAAACTAAACGCTCACAAAACCAAACACACACTATAATAGATTTAATAATATTCGATAATAAGAATGTAAAAGATAAGTAACTTAAAAAATTAAATATTATTGAAATAATGAAAATAGATTAAATAATTTAGAGGTATTGAAGCTTCCAAATAACAAATTTAATAAATTTCAAAAAATAATATTAAAGGATATAATAATTGCAATTATGAATGTATTAATAATAAAAACATTATTTCACTTATATGAGTTAATAATTATAGAAAATAACTTCCAAAAAAATAGTATCTATTAATAATAATTTTAAAATATTTATCTATATTTATTAGATATTGACATATACTAAAATTAATATGTATTGTATTTTGATGATAAATATTTTCAATAATCATGTATAAATATATTTTTGTTTTGTTATTTAATAGAAAACTTTCAATAATTATTGGAAATTAAACCATTGTTATTTAACTTTTTAAATTTAATTTATTATACTTATTGGATTTATTGTATTTTTGTTACAAATTTATTTTTAGTAATTATGTATTTTTTGTTATAATTGATTGATTAGTATTTATTATATATTAAACTATTATATACTATTTATTGTCTAATTTAACACATTTCATTATTTATTGTATTTTCGCTATTAGTTCAATAATTATTGGAGATTAAACTATTAGTTTAGCTGAAATTAGGAGTGTTCACGGGTTGGTTTGGTTCGGTTGCAAATTATTTGGCTAACCAAACTAGCATAGTAAGGTTGAGGAGTTGGTTACTCGAAACTGGTTGACCATTAGTGACAATTAGCCAACTCGAGTTGTATCAGTTTGGGTCAATTTTTGGTTTGGTCGATCGGTTCAAAAGATTTAAACTTAAAAAACTAAATTTAAAAAAATTACAACAGTCATAAAAAAGAAGTTAAAATTTTAAGTTTATAATATAAAATATTTATACTAAGAAATATGAGAATTTTCTTACTTTTCTATATTAAAAAATATAAATGGCCAAACCAAAACTGACCTGACTTGGTCGGGCTGGAAATTGCATAATTGAAGCCAACTAGAAATGAAATACTATAAAACTGACCAACTTGGATCAAATTGGGTTGGGTTGGTCGGTTTGGTCAGTTTCATCGGTTTGATAAACAACTCTAGCTGAAATCAATTATTGTTATTCTTGTATTGCAAAAAAAAAAGAAATATAAATAATTATTAATTATTTAAAAAAAGTAAAATATAAAACAATTGTCTACTCTTATGTGTTCAAAAGAGAGAGAAATCAAATGACAAGAAAAATAAAGGGTAAAGGACTTAAACCTCCCTTGAGTTTTCTTATAAATACTAAAACATCCCATCTTTAAAAAAAAATGGACTAAGATCTCCCTTTTGAGGGTTATATTCAATGGAATCATTAAAAAGTCTTTTTTATCCTTACTACTTCATATTTTCAAAACAAGAAATCTCTATTGCCATTTTTTTTGGGTTGTCTTGTCTCGCCCCACSCAAGAACTTTTCAACCAATATTTTAAAGAGCTTGGAATAAAAAAAGAATATTAAAATAGAGGATTCATATAAAGTAAAAAAGAAGGTTTATTAAACTTTAAAACCAATAAATGCGATCAAATATGGGATTTTTCTTGGGGAGGTTTGAAGCAAGATTTTTAGGGGTGTTGTTTAGTGTTGATCCAAAAGAAGCCATTTGAGACTGAAAATAGATGAGTTAAAAAAGCACAAATTTAAATTATAAAGGTAGAAGGGATTTGATTTATTAACATAGGAATTAATATATACATCTTTGCAATGTTAGGAGGAGCTCTTTTTTCTAGTGTTTAATCCTTGCTCAAATACCACAAATAATTATTTAAATCAAAACAAAAAGCTGAACCGATTCAAACCCATCGTCTCATTGAACCTAAGCACATCGTCCCTTTTATCACACCTGATATCATTGAGACCTCCAAAAAAAACGTCAATTCCTACATATTCTTCTCACCTAATACAACCAACTTTCCACTGGATACCCCTTTGCATGCTTTTAACCTCAAAAAACCATCAGTGATTTGTCAAACTGAACCCCAATCCAAACGACTTTTAAAGCCCTGACCCCAGATTGCTTCTCCAGGCTAGAACTTTGAATTCAATGTTGCAGAGAATGGCTTTGAGCACGGTGCCCTTGTTATTTATGATGAAAGCAATAAACAACATCATAGAAAATGACGATATAAACAGCATCATATTGGGCAAATTTGGGTTTTCCAAAAATTTAATTTACGTATGACGTCACATTATAACAGATGTATGGGAGGTTTTTATTCCATTACATCACTTAATATGGGAAGTCGGTCCAAATTGAAAAAAATAGGGTATGTTTCAGTATTTAAGAAAATATTCAGGGGAGATTTAAGTGTTTTACCCTAATAAAGGACATACCCGACTTCAAGTGAAAATACAATAATACCCCTCATTGGATTTTTGGAGGGAATGGACTAATATGATCCATTTGGGAATATAAAACTTTAGCCGTTGGAACGTTCATGCGCATGACGCGTCAGGACAGGAATCTGGTTTGCCATGTCAGCAGATCCACTCGCTTGATATTATAGTTTGCCACGTCGTCATTGAGCATCGCATAAATCCGAGCTTCTCAAGACGAATTCTCTGAAGATTGTAGCGTATGTTTGGCATCGTTGCCGTTGCTCCACAAAATGGTGCTACATCAGCGCTGTGTCGGAAAAATAGTGCTCTAGGAAATGAATATTTATTTGGAACGGTGCTCTAAGTTACGACTTGAAAATCGAAAAGGCATGGTTAGGAGTATCGCTAAATTTAATATTTCTTGGAACTGCAACTCGTTGCTACCAACAGGGATGTGAGGTGATAGTGATGTGGCATTGGATAATGGGTACCAGTGCTGAAAACGTTTCTTAGAGCATTGGTACCAAACAAAAAAAAGTTTTTGTTCAAAGAAACATCCTACCTACAGCAACAATTCTAAAAAAAAATAAAGACATCATCAGAAAATGATGCTTCCAATCCACACATCAGCAGCATCGATGCCAAACATATACGTAGTATAGGGTGGGAATATGCTAGTAAGTAGGGTGCAAATGGATCAGATCCTATATTGTCGGATTGGATAATTTGATTCGGATCACCCCTATCCGATCCAAAATATATGTTATGTATAATATATAGGTATATATGTTATTTATCTATTCATAAATAAATTATTGTATTTTTTGTTAATTTTTTATATTATTTATTTTATAAAAATATGTATATATTTTGACAAAAATAATTGAAAAATATTTGTATTTTTTATTTTTCTGTTAATAATTTATTATTATTTTTTAAATTAATTCGGATCGATTCAGAAATCCAACATCTTCATCGGATTCAAATTTAAATCGGTATTTCTGAAATCCAACATCTTGATTCGTTTGCATCCTATACTAAGCTTCGAATGGATGACGTGTTTACTTTTGATTGGGTTACGTAGCCTGTTATACATATATTGTTTGTAGTAGATCCGAAGGCGCCAGGCATTAAAGTCAACAGTTCCTCCCCTCCTTTGACCTCTTCTCTCTGGGCTCCACACCCATATTTATGTGTAAACTACTACAAGAGTAAAGGCGGAGCCCTAAATATCAGAGGCCTCTCCCTCCCTCTCCTTCTCTCTGTCAAACGTGAAGAAAGAGTGACATGGGCAGCTCGAGTAATGGCGCCGCCGGCAACCTTACGGCCAAAGGCAATGAAGTCGTCGTCGACAAAGGCGTCGATTTCGCCAACTATTTCTGCACCTATGCTTTTCTGTATCACCAGAAAGAGATGCTCTGCGATAGAGTTCGCATGGATGCTTACTTTAATGCCATTTTCGAGAACAAGGAGCACTTTCGCGGTAAGGTAGGTCTCGGTTCTCCATATTTCCTCTATTCTGAGTTAATCCGTTTTGTTGAGGCAGTGTTGAATTGAATATCCTGTTCGTTGCATTTGTTTCTTCACCAAGAACGCGAAGAGTAGGACCAAGATATTGTCTGCTTTGCTCACTCTTTCTAGTTGCTGTTTCGTTAGTAGGATTGTAGACTATGACCTGGGTTTTATTTTTATTTTAGGAAGTTTAGAAGAGTACACTGGAAATCTGGAAGAGAAAATTAGTTGGTCACTTGGTCTATGGGTACTTATTTACCTTTTCAATATATGAAATATGATATGGTTACACTATTCCTTATCAAGTTCCGTTCTTTCTTTGAATTTGTACATTCAGAAATACGCACTAGATACAAGTGCAATAGTTTATATGAATATGATTTATGACTAATTATGGTGAATCCATGGGGCAGACGGTGTTGGATGTAGGAACTGGGAGCGGCATTCTTGCAATATGGTCTGCACAAGCTGGAGCGCGTAAGGTCTATGCTGTTGAAGCAACTAAGATGTCTGAACATGCCCGTGAACTTGTTAAGGCTAATAACCTTCAAGATGTGGTTGAAGTGATTGAAGGTTCTATTGAGGATATAACTCTTCCAGAGAAAGGCTCGTAAACTTTTGACTCGCATTTGTCCTCAAAGTGCAAAGACTGAAGAATTTTTGTCACCCCAAGGATGTTGGTTTTTTGTGTTTTATTTGATCTGTATTTTCCCCTATCCTAACCTGAGAGGTTGATTTATATGCAGTTGATGTAATTATCTCAGAATGGATGGGATATTTTCTTCTTCGTGAATCTATGTTTGACTCTGTAATATGTGCAAGAGATCGCTGGCTGAAGCCAACAGGGGTAATGTAAGTCTCCATTATGTTGTTTTATGTAGGACTAAAGTTTCAGTTTGTTCTTCTGAGCAAGATTTTATTTTATTTTTTAATTTATAATAAATGTTACTTCTGAACTGCAGATATCTCTAAATGGTTTTCTTCCAAACTAACATGTTAGTGGATACTGGATAGTACTAAATTGCTGCTACTTTTTATTTGTTACTTTAACTTACCATCATCATCATCATCATCAAACATAAATGCATAGGCTTATTATCAAAGAACCTTCTTATTATAGTGTTTGGTGATTATTTGAAATAGGTATATACACTTGCACTAGGGGAGTTGGGAATTGTAGTCCTTAAGTTATCTGTTAAACCATGTTGGAAAATAAGCTTCTGGTAATTGCATATTTGCATGGCAAAGGTATTCAGGGWGGGGGAGTTGGGATTATTTTGTCTTTTTTCTTTTTGTTTTTGGTTGAGGCTTTAATGGCCTTGTCTTGGCGGGGGTGGATTTTCCTTGACTCTTCTCTTTTTGCCTTGGTGATATCTTATCGTATGAGAATATGATGAGATTGTATCTCTTTCTATTTCTGTTTATGAAATTTTTTTTTTCTATTAAAAAGTGCATGCCAAAGTAAGCATCATGTTACTTCTTCATTTTGTTCTTGTTTTTGTGGCAATGGGATTTGATCTCGAGTCTCTGCTAGTCTGCTATGACTAGCTGGATAACTTACAGATCCACAATCAGTTGGTATTGAGATTGGAACCTCAAACCTTGTTATCAATATTCTTGCTTAAGGTTCACTTTAATCTAAAATGCTAAGGCAAGGGTTGTCTGGGTTGAATCCTGCCAATGAACAAGATATTATCATATTATCTGGGTTCAAGCTACCCAAGGCAAACATGATTTGGAAGACTCGTGCTATTTGAAAGCATAGTTTTCATGGACCAACATCCTGGCTCTACATGATTGGACAAAAGCCTTCTTGTGAAGCAATTTGATCTTTGGATCTTAGAGATTTGAAGGGAAATAGGGAAAAGGAAGGATCAGAAAGTTGAAATGGCAATTGTTCATTATAGTTTTTTTTTTGATAAATAATTTTTTATTATAGTTTAACAGGTGATAGATAATCTTTGTAATATTTTGATTGGTAAATAACTAACTAATCTTTGTAAAATTCGATTTATGAAAAATTATATTTAAATACTTTTTAATTGATTAGGTTTACTTCTTTCAAGCGGTTGACTATTATATTGTCAGATTGGCTGGTCTAGTTTTTGGAATTGGGCAAGAAAGATCTAAATGTAATGTTGTAACCTATGTGCCCATCAAATGGCTTAAGGGTGAATTCACTCCTTCATTGTGGTTATCTTAGGGCTGTCAATGGGTCGGGTCTTAGTTCGGGACAGGGTAGAACCATCCTAAACCAATGGGAAAACCCTTATCTCGGTCCCAAATCATACCCCATAAGTTCTATAATTTCAGATCCAGAACTGAACCAACTGTTAATTGGAATAATTGGGTCTAACCCGATAAGACCCAATTATAAAGAAGAAAAAAAGATTAGGCACTGTGAGCGGTAGAAGCTGGGTAGGGTACTAGGGTTAAGTGAAAATTGAGAAGGCAAGAAGAGTGAAGAGAGAAGAGGAAAATAGACAAAGACAAACTAGGTAACCAAGGTATTTTTTTTTTGAAGAAAAGTTATTTGGTTTCTCTCTACCCCATGTTTTGCTAAGAGTCAGCAAAGGCATTAGTAGTTCTTTTAACCCACATAAGTCTCACATCCATCTTGTGTTTAGAGAGCTAATAATAGTTCTATATTATCAATTTATCATACAAAGACAAGAAATTTCCCCATCTTACCATTTGACCAAATCTAAACCCCACCAAAGCATTGGTTTTCTTCACTGGAATAGGAAGCGTAAAAGTTGCAATAATGGTCAAGCAATGGGGATTCCCTTGGTGACTAGGAAGTGCCAACTGGCCTTTAGGCAGAGTAGAACACCTTCTTCAAGGTGAAGCTCGAGTAGGGTATGGTGGAACTTCAAGAAGTCTCCAGAGTTGAGCATCGATTAATCGACCTCGTTGGGAAGTTCAAAGTGGCTAATAGATTGAGCAGCATTGACGAGAGCATTCCTTTCGATATTGGGGAATAATATGTTCCTAAGCAACTGATGGTATGTGATCTGCTGCTCCCTACTGGAGGACAACTCGGACGTCGGGCTGACGAGGTCGGCTGGCCAAGTTGTAAGAAAATGATCAAAGTTCCTGGGGTGGGCACTCCGATGCTTAAGTCAGCGAAGAGTGTTAATGCAAGAAAGCGAGAGAGCTAGAGAATTATGAGAGCTAAATCGTGTGTACCTTCTCTGGTTGAAGGGATGCTTTTATATAGGCGCATGTAGTCGTGAGCTTTATGTAGCGCGTCTGAGATCTCGGAGAGGACGTGGCTTATCGGCTAACCATCAGTTAGGTGACGTGATCCTGGAGGACTCGAAGACGATAAGTTGMACGTAGTGGAGGTTGGTCGTCACATCACGCAGGTCGCCAATTAGACCCCAATCAGGTTGGTGGGACCTCAACGGGAGGTCGCCCCTCATGCCGAGGTCTTTGGCTCGGTCCTGACGAGATTGCCAGCCTGATCCTATCAAGGTGCATACAGGTTGGCCCTGCCGAGGTGGTGCTGGAGCACTCTCAAGGTCGAGGTGTGTCCGAGGTGGCTCTAAGGTGAACTCTATCATCTTGGCAAAGGCAAGTCACTGCCTACATGGCGTTGAGGCAATGGTTCGAATTTTGGAAGTGCCACATGGTGTGATGTCACTGGAGGGCGAAATTACCCCTCATCAGAAACTTTGTAYTAAAATTGACATTTTTCTCCACAAGAGGGAGAAAGATACATCTAAAGTAGCACCTAAGGGAGGTTCAAAAGCCTTATTTCTCTCTCTCTCTCTTACTCTCTCACACACACTCTCTCTCGCTCTCTCTTTGAAGATTGGAGACTATTATATTCAAAAGAGGGTGCGAAAATACAAGAGAGGATATACAAAAGATGAAAAGAAGGGACTGTTATTGAGAGCACAACCCTCTTAGGAAAGTGACTTTGGAGATTCCCATTTGAGAGTGATAGACTGTGGCACAAAGTTATTGAGAGCATTCATGGGTTGGATGGTAATGGCTAGGATGCTAAAGTTGCCCCTCATGCTACTTCGGCTTCTCCTTGGAAAGCAATTCATGAAATATATCCTACCCTCCTCAGCTTCATTCATTTTGATGTGGGACAAGGTAATAAAGTTCATTTTTGGTAAGATCTTTGGGTAGGAGAAGTCCCACTTAAAGATCATTTTCTGATTATACTCTTTTAAACCTTAAGGGGGAAATTGTGTCTAATCTAGGAGCAATTGGTCCAAATGGGTTGATTGGAACTTGGGATTTAGAAGAGGCCTTAGGGAAAATGAATGTGAGTCCATAGTTCAATTGCTGGATCTACTAGGACAAGTTTACTTGGACTTGTCCTTGGTAGATTCCAGAATTTGGGTAGGCTCTTGAGATGGTCTCTTTACCTGCTCTTCTTTTTTCGGTGTTCTTGGTTTGCCTAGCATCCCAGCTGGAAACTTCCCTGTGAAAGAAGTGTGGAGTAAGCCTATCCCCCCAAAAATTCAAGCTTTCTGTTGGGAGATTGTCCTTGGCAAGGTAAATACTTGTGATATGCTGCAGAGAAGAAGGCCTCTTGCTTGCCTTTCTCCTCACATGTGCTCCCTTTGTAAGGAAAGTGGTGAGACCCTCTCACATTTGTTAATATCTTTGTTCTTTTGTGCTTCACATATGGGTGTTCTTTTGTGTTCTCTTTGGTTGCAGGTGGGTTCCCCCTCAAGATGTGGCAGGCCTTTTCAACCGTGATTTCTTGAGCCAACCAAAGTAAAGAGGAATGGTAATGTGGAGAGCTACGAAGGCAGCAATTTGCTTGGGTAGTATGGGTAGAAAGAAATAACAGAATATTTTTGGAGAAAAGTAGGATGGTGGAGGAAGTAATAAACACTATAAAGGTTAAAGTAGCTCATTGGGTAAAATCCTTTCATAGCTTTCAAGAGTTCTCAGTCACAGACATCCTAAGAACATGGACAGAAGTAGCACAGTCTTCAAGAGTGAAAGAGAAAGTACGGATGGAGTGGAAACCCCCAGAAGGAAACAGGATTAAATTGAATTTTGATGGGAGCTCCTTTGGAAATCCGGTACTGTCAGGTATAGGAGTAATCAGAAATTCTGAGAAGAGGGTATTAGCTTTGTTTTCAGGTCAGATTGGCACTGGTAACTCACTAAAAGCTGAGGTGTTAGCTCTGTTACAAGGGCTGAAGCTATCTAAGCAGCTAGGACTTAGGCATATTGAGGTGGAGGGGGATTCAAGAGTGATCATTTCATGGGCTACAAACAATAGACTTACTCCGTGGACTTTCAAACACGTGATTAGGGAAGTGGAAAAGTTTGCAAAGGAGGTAGAAGCCGATTTCAAATGGGTCAGAAGTGCTAATGGGCTAGCTGATGCTCTTGCAAAACAAGGAGCACTTAGGCAACAATTATTTTGGGCTGAGCTCTAGAGGAACAGAAGTATGTACTCAATGGGAAACAGCATTCCCATCTACATGTTGTAAATCTTTGTCTTAAATCTATTTTAAATAAAATTTTCTTTTACTGATAAAAAAAAGAAGGGACTTTGTTACAAAAAAGCCAATAGCCCACTCAGGACAAATTTAAGCTGTTAGTACCATACAAAAAGTTACTCTCCCAACCAGAATTAGTTAAGAAGTTAGCTACTTGATTCAGAGATCTTGGAATCCATCTAAAGCAGCACCTAAGGGAAGAAGAGAGATTGTGAATCTTGTGAAGGAAATGAAAAATCCTCCAAAGACCTGTCTCCAACTTGGTTGCCCACACATCACTATTCTAGAATCCCTTTCCACAACCAATGAACTGGAGATCAAACATTTAACAAATCTGAGACCCTCAAAAAGGGCCTGTACTTCAGCTTCAGA